ATAAAATCATTGTAATTGTGAAACTTTAAATCATACAAAATTACTTTGCATAACTTTACATTAATTTTGTAGGAAATCTAAAGTTTCAAAAGGATAAAGATCCAGGTAACAGTGCCATCTTTGTTCAAACCCCTGCACTACATGTACTGGATAAGGTTAACATTCACCATTTGTTGTCTGTTTATATATCTTTTAAAATAAATGTTGGATTTTGGGAGAAATTTTATTGACTCCTTAGTCAGTAAAGTTATGTTTTACACTAAATTCTAAATATAAATAATTCTGTTTATAGTAAGTAGGTGGAAGCTGTTTTATTATTAATAAAAAGGTGTTTGTAATTAGCATTTAGTGACAACATGAGATGACCCCTATTTCCAACATAGTGTCCATTGCTTGCTATCCTCTCCTCACAAAAGGTACCATTTTAAATGTTCACACCAAATTCTATATATGTTATCAATTAGTCATCATGAGAATTCATGGCCTTCTATTAGCTTCACTCTAGTATTTCTAGTTGAAGACAGAAAGATATGATGACTACCAGAATGTCGTTTAGTTGGTAGGTGGTAAAATGCTCTTTTAAAAAAGCGAGATGACCCCCTAATCCTCATATTGGTGTCAGTGGATTGGTGTCAGTGGAGTATGTTGTTCCTATCTTTACAAGGATGTATTTTAACTCTCTGATCGATACCTGAGTAATGGCCACTATCAGCATTCACATTCTTACTCATACCAATCATGTTTTTATTTCAAAAAGTGTTTGATAAGCTTGGCCATGGGCAGATGTAGTAACATGAAATATACATAGATAAGACCTGGCAATATACTACTCTATTAAGGATGCCACGATCATGATATTTTCAATTCAAACCAATTGTCCATATACCAGGTATAAAAAATTGATTATTTTTTCTAATCAATAAAACTTACGAGTGCATGATTTAATCATTATTTGCTCAGTGTATACTGTAGCTATTTCACATACCATCTCATTCTTAAGTTACAGTCTATACCAAGGCTGTAACAAAAATAACAAAATACTTTATATGAGATGTTAGTTGTATGTATGAGCTCTGTAAACATAAGCATCTATATTCTGCTGGAGAGGCAATGATTGATAGTCTCATTTTTGAGAAACTCAAATTTTTTTTTTCATCTAATTTTTTAACAATTTTTTGTCAATCATATTGTTATGGTCTCCGACTTTTTTCTGGATGGTGTTTGGTGGTTAGTGCTCTGAGTTTGGTGGTTGATATTCAGAGTTTGGTGTCTGTAACAAATGGTAGGTACTAATATTTTGCATGTTGATGCCTTGTAATTGCAAGATGAATTACAAAACAATTATCAATTATAAAGGCTTCATATTGATTAACTCAGAAGTCAGAAGTCACTTCTAAAAATTATACTGGTGTATAATAAATTGTGAATCCCTGATGTCTTCAATATAATTTTGATATTTGCTTATCATTCATTTAATAGATGGTGTTAGTAGCAAGTTGTAAAAATATATTCATCATGTTCATTTGACAAGGAGGATTGGCTCCTAGAATGCAACATCATCGATATTCTGTCCCATATATGGTATGGTGACCTTTAACCTTATTTACACGTGACAGGTTCCAGTGACATTTTGTCATGTTAATGCCTTGTTTTAACTGTCACAACTTACGATATGGTCGCAAGCCATTGTTTGTCAGAAACTAAATGATGGAAATGTAAGTTATGATCAAATCAAAAACGAACCCCCGTGTCAGTAAGTTCAAGATTTATAAAACATGGACAGTCTGAATCTTTTAATGATGTACGACTATGTTAACTAGTATAATCGGCACTAGGGCACGCAAGAATGAGAGCTAGCTCATAATGTGGGTAATAACCAATATAATTAAGGTATGAAATATTTTATTTATTGTAATTTTTATTATATAGAGATGATTCACATGACTGGAGTCATATTGGGTCAAATCAATAGGATTAGAGACTTGACATATCTGTATCTTTCTGCAATTACATACATGAACATGTTAAGTAAAATTAATGCATTGCAGTATATAAGAATGTCCACTGTCCTTCAGGTAAAGCCTCAGTCACATTGGCTGTACGGTGGCAGTAGCACAAAAAAGCACAAAAAAAGCTACATCGTACTGCTTATCCATATATTTTATATCGATTTTGGGAGCTATGACTGCTGTGTGGTTTCAAATGTAATCAAGGCATTAATCATGCATCAGTGGATCCAGGTAGGCCCTGAAAAACTTAAGGGCCCCGCTGGCCATATTCTACTTGGATTGGTATAAGTAGATCAGGAACATTGTAGAATATTTTTATATCAGGGATGGATTCCTGATGAACTTTCTATAATATGTAATTAATTTAGCACTGTTACAACATTGGGATGCAGTATAAATTGATCGTACATTATTTTCATTTTGAAAGTATCATCAAAAGAAGTTAGAATCAATATGTTATTTTGTTTTGTATTTAAAGGGGTCTTGGTAATGATTCCTATAAACATAAGACATACCTCTAAATCCTTCTTATTGATGAAATTAATTTCTCATTTTATCTATTTTATACAGGTATTTTATCGTAAATCTAACATGCATTGAAATATTCGCACACAGGGCTTATTATTAATATATAAAATAGTATTTTATTCATGGAAATAATTTCATATAAGATGAATAGCTAGATCCATAACATACATATGGTATACAATGCGTACATGTGTAGTAATAATACTATAAGTAATTAATTGCTAGGATATTCAGATACTGACAGATAGTCTAAATGAGGAAACTTCGCTCAAAGCAAATGTTCAGAGGTAAGGTAAAATATTGATTTGCACATCATCTTTGAATCATCAAAAAGTGGTGACATAATTCTGAAAGGACAATTCTCGGTTTGGAGAACAGTCTCCTGGGCTAATAATTTTTTTCATGAAAAATATAGAAATATCACCCAAATTAAACTATGAATATTCAAAAGAGGACATTTAAATCTACAAGATGTAAAAATAACAAATTGGTCTGAAGTAGGGATAACGCTCAATTAGACCGATTCAATAATATACAAGTCTCGAATTGGGGAAAGAAGTTCATCAGTGTACTGCACTAATATATTTTTTTCAAATTAAATTATGACTATTCAAAAGAAGACACTCAAATCTATATTATGTAAAAAAAATCAAAGTTGTCCTAAGCAGGGATAATGCTCATTTACCCCCCTATCACACCAAACTAGTTCTTACCCGTTCTTGCCAGTCCTACGAAAACGTTGTCAAACGGGCTCAATCTGGCTGTGGTCGGGAAATATGTCTGAAATAATTAGCTTCTTCGTTCTTAAACAGTCTTCAATACGTCCAACTCGTTCGCAGTTCGTTCAGGTCGCACCACGTTCGGCGTGCAACGTCGTAGAACGCGTCCCTTAGTCTAGAAGGTCAACATGACCTGATTACAGAACGGTATGGTCGCCATCGAATTTTGAATCGATTCAAAATTCTAAAATCACATTTCCGTCTGAAAACGTTCATAAAGTTCGTAAATAGACCTTAGAAAGTTGCAGCTACGTTCATTCTGTTCGCACAAAGTTTAAAACCAGTTTTGAAGAACGCAGTGGCAACTTGTTTGGTGTGATAGCTATATTTTTTAACTCGTTCATAAGCAGTGTTAAATACGTTCTTAATCAGTTTAAACCCGTTTGCAATTAGTTCTACCTCCTGATCAACACGTCCTCAGACAGTTTAACTCGTTGTTAAAACGTCCCTAGTAGGATTGAAGTACGATGGTTCCGTTCGTAGTACGTCCAGTTCGTTGTTAGTACGTTGTCACTCGTTCTAATTGTAGAACGTGACGACCACGAGAACATTTTGAGCATTGTCTAAGTTCTAAAGGACCTACCCGTTCGAGTACGTTCGATGAAGTTTGTAAATAGATCCCAAACGGTTCTTAGTAGGTCCAGTCCGTTCGTACACAGTTGAAGCCCGTTTTCGAGAACGTAGTGAGAACTAGTTTGGTGTGATAGTAGGGTTAGATTGATGAACTTGGTTCTCAAAACCGAGAATCATCCTTTCTATTTTTGTGACCAGTATCAGCAGTTATTGTTTGGCAGCTGTACAAATTTTTAGACTTTTATAATCATTTTTAATGACTTTATATATGGTATCTTTTTGGGGCATATTTTTTGCCTTGTTTACATTTATTATACTGATAAACATGTCTTTAGATAAATTATACAGGGTGTCTATAAACTTAATAGACACCCTGTATAGTGTTGCATATGATTTTATAGAATTGAGTGTATTTTTGAAATGGTGAAATAACTACTTCAGAAAATATTATTCCTTATTTGTAGTTAAATTAAGAGGTACAAAATATAATTTACTATTGATTTCAAAGTACAACAGTCATTTTTTTATCATATAATGTTTTTGGTCTTTGGTACCCCCCTTGTACTTGTGCTGTAGTTGAGAAGTTTCGGGATAGAAGGTCACACAGGCTTGAAACCAGACTGATGCAATTTTATTATGCAATCTTATTTATGATTGATGCCATTCACATTGTACATTGTGTACAGTAATTTCATTCTTTTTGTAATTTTTCTGGGATTGACCTTATATAGGTTGTAATCATATGTTCAATTACATTTTTAGATTAGTTCTTTCAGATGAATCCAATCTAAAGTTGTTTTAGTATGGTATATGAATTCATTGTGTGGTTGTAGGGAATATTGCAGACATGTAATCTAAGCACTCATCCGCAAATTGAGGGGTCGTTGGTTTTTCATATCCGGTCATCATTAAATATGTTTTATTTTGGGTTATAAGCACAGGGTGGCCCAAAAATGCAATCCTTTAATTTTAGAATAAATCTCAATTTTGATGGAATCCTCTCAAATTTTCCCATGTGTATGATAATAAGTACATTTTGTCATTTGCTGTGTTATGTATCATAATAATGTTCCTTATTATTAACCATTATGTTTCCTCTGTGTTTTTTTAGGCCTGCGTCGGCAGAGTGACGGAGGCACAAATTCATCCACAGGCCCCGATGACTCTATTATAGCCACACCCCAGTTAAGTCGACGTAAAAGATTCTGGAATAGCTTCAAGAAAAGCACACAGAAACTCAGACGAAGTAAAAGCCGAGAGAAACTAAAGAAGGATAAAGAAAATGGCAGACTTGCTCGGAGTTCCCCAAATATAGCAATTGTGGATTCATCGCCACGGCAACCACGACCAAAATTTCCTCATGCTCAGAGAAACATTGATTTCGAGGATGAGGGTGTTCCAGAGACACCCAAACGAGAAAATAATGATGCAGGTTACCATGATCGATGCTTTAGTGATCCAGGTAAAGTATATCTAAAGTCATATTCTTTTAAATTGAAATGTTTAGAGTAAGGATAGTTTTGTAACAGAGCCTGTATTTTCCTGCTTCACTCTCACACCTGTGAAGGAAAATGATTGGGGGGGGGCATGAACGGGCTATTGATGCAAGACTGAAATGTTACAGTATACTTGTAGTCTGTAATCAGACTAAATATTTTGATCTGAAGCATGAATATGTATGTAATAGTACTCTGAGCATCAAAATCTTATTTATATTTACATGTAAGTAAAACCTATGTGTTCCTCTTTGGAAATGCTCCTTTTACAAAGGTTCATTTTACATGAGGCTCATAAGGCGTAGAGGCAGCAAAAGATACAGAATGTTTCAAAAAGTTACCTTAAACTTTACTCCTTTTCTGCCCCTTTACATAAATTTGCCAAATCCCTTCATATTCAGCTGACATTCTTTCATAAAATAGCATGAAATATACATGTGAGATCATTAAGACCTTATCAAAATCAAAACTATAGAAGTAACTGTTATAGTTAGAATATAATGTGACTATATGAGGATTCAGGCTGATTTATAGGCATATACCACAAAGAGCTCTTTCTGTTGTTTAGAAGCTCGATTATCCATACATAATTAAACCCCAGTTTACAGTGAAAATGGCATTCATGCATTATTTAAGAGTAATTTCATGATCAAATGTAATATGTCTGGGTCATTTTTCAGGTCACCTTGTGATCAATGAGAAAACATCTGTAGCTAGCTGTAGGTCTTTAATGAAGGTGTTTTTCAGGTATGCCACCATCAAAGGATAGTTCATCAAGTCCGCGCTCATCTAGAACACGGCAACTTACCCGCATGGCCTCACAGGAGCAGTCACTAGGGAGCAGCTTTGACTCTGGTGATGCTAGTCATGTGACCACAGAACTGACCAATGGAAGGGAGAGTGAAGTGGACAGTGGCATAACAGTGGTGGAGAGCACGGTGAGTTTGTTTTTCATCGATCTTTGGAAAAAAATTACCTGTTTCTTACATACCTACAGGGCTGTCAACTTGGGACCACCTAATATGAGTGACTTCAAAATGTTGGACACCTAAGTCCAAATCTGAACACTTTTGTCCAAATTTTGAACACCTTTGGCCAACTTTTAAACACCTTTGGCCAAAGTTTGAGCACCTTTGCCAAACTTTGAACACCTCAAATTTTTCGCACGAAAAATTTCCAATGAACATGCGTGACACATACGGGATTCGCGTGACAAATCCGAACAAATTGCGTTCGTTTTTTTCCGGCGTTCGTATTTTTACCGTATCGTAAACATATTTCGAAAAAATTTCTACAGAAATATTTTTGCTTGACAATTACCAGGTAAAATGCGTATTTTGCGTGTCATTTTCTGTCACGCAAAAAAAAATGGCGTGACTTCAAATTCTTCAGCAAATGCGTGACAAATACGCAAATTGCGGGACAGTTGACAGGCCTGTACCTAGTATATATACATAATGCAGTGATCTCCCCAGCATTAGAGCAAGTGGGTGTAGCACCCACCTGAGATTTTGAAAATAGGCTTGCACCCACCTGAAAATTCATTTGCCCCTGGGGAGATCACTGTAATGCATCTTCATATTAGAATATGTAACTTAGTTTTTTATGAGTTTCGTATGCATGTTTTTACAATTTCTCAATATCACAGGTCCAGTAGATACGATGTGACATGTTTTCTTAACTACTCTTTGTACAAATTCTATTTCGCAACCTTAAAAAGCCATGTTAGCATCTAAGTTTCGGGGTAGACATTGCATACTTTGTAAATTATGCCTATGTACATTATATACCTGTTGAGTCCTGTTTTGCTTACTATATATCGAAATTATGCTGATAATGTAGACTGTGTTGTTTTATAGATGGCAGCGTTGTAGCATATGCCAATACTGTTCCACGGTGATGCACAATGAATTGCATCTTATCAATGTACTAACTGAGGCATTATAAGCTTAAAACTACTATTAATAGTACACTTATACACCATTCAGTGTTATATTCACCAATGTGTTCACTGTTATTCATAACTCGTATATCTTCATTTTTATATCTTTAATTTGAAGTCTACCTGCTCTTTTTCAAAAGGAATTACTGGAATGACATTCACATTTTCAAATAAAGGAATCTGACGTTTTGCAGGATTGGACTATAAAGTCAAAGATGTGATATTGCAGCAAGTTTTATATTACGACACTGTAGTAATATTACGGGTTTACGATTTACCAGATTTACATCAACTGAACTACTGGGAGAAAAAGTAAGATTGTGGAACGCACAATCTTTATACATATACTAATACTACACGATATAATACAGATATTATATACAATAGATTAAATTCCAGCAGAGATACAGTTAAGTAGTAAAAAATTGTAAAACATCACATTATTATTATATAGGAACTTTAACAGGTAATATTTAGCAAGCCCAGGGCTCCATTGTGGGATGTACAGTCTCTACAGTATCCCTTGGAAAAGGGGAACAAGATTTAGAGGGAGACCCTGATAAATCAGAATGCCAGGGCTCACCATAGGAAAACTTCACACATTGGTAATCCAAAGTGAGGGCTCGCCTTTATGGCGCGATTAATGAAATTGTGAGAATATAGCACAGTATAATTTAAAAGTACAACTTAATATATTGGACTCTTGACAAATTAGTTTTGAAAGGTACAAATATTTATTAATATACAAACACTTAACATACATGCGAAGGGCAGAAAGTGCAAAATGTATTTATTTGTGTATATACCACAGTGGAAAATTGCTTCATTGAATTGGTAGTGTACAGTATTATACTGAAAGATTCACAAAAATGTCACTGTCAGATAAATAATACCAATTAAAGTATAGCAAAGACAGGAGATTAAAAGAATTAAACTTGCAAAATACACAAATAGATCAGATTAACTAATATGTCAAGCAGTAAGATTGCATGTGGAAAAGAATTTGGAACAAAATAAGAATAAGGTAGAATATACATGTATTTATTGATCGGTTTGGTGATAGTGTGAATGATATATGTAGCTATGATTTCCTATGATAAGATGCAGCCTAATACAGATATTCAGAGTTCACATCAAGCTCAGGTCATATCGATGACAAATGAGAAATCAATCTGGAGTATATATGCAACAGAAACTCCATTTAGTGAAGAATTCTTAAATTAACTTCTGTAACCATGTAAGCCAACAATGGACTTGGGGTTTCTCATCGTTTCTTATTGTAACATTTACACTGAATTTCCATTAATGACCAGGTTACTTATTATATTTGTATTTTTCATCTGTTAGCTGTCAGTTACAATATTATCATCTGATTAGAAACAATGAAGGCTAAATGTTGTTCTTGTATATACGTTTTATTTGCGTGCCTTCGACAAACAAGTAAACTTAATTATTTGTGACACATATGGTCGTAAACGAGATCTCAGAATCGAGCCTGAGGTTAAAATTCTACTGGTGTCTTAGGTAAATGGATTGCTGATCTATAGATTGTGGAACAATTCAATCTGATTGCTTATGTTATTGGATTTTCATGTTAAACACGAGGGGAAAGAGTACCCGTGTATATACAACCTACCGCCGAGCAAGACACGCACATACCGCCGAGCAAATGTTTGATAATGTCATCTCGTAGGAAAATGGACAATAAAGGTAATATAATGTCACTAACAATTCCTTTGGATGGTTAGAGTTGTTACTAAGATGTTCTAGCAGGCGCAATTGGCCTAGAATTATAGTTGAAATATATTTTTATGTCCAAATTAAGAGATAAGGTAAACGTATAATGGTTTCGATTTGTTTTTCTCATTCACACTCGCTTTAATTGATAATGAGCCATACATAAGACATACTTGGGTCGGTAAATGGATGTGCATATGCATAATATATTAAGTGTCAAAATATTAGGTCAAAATAGCACTTTTGAACAGCAAAATCTTCACTTAAACTTTGTCCTAAAAGACCCGAGGTTATCGGACATTGGACCCGATGTGATCGACGAGTAATATTATAAAGATCCGAAGATATCTTGAGTAAAGGATCTCAGAATCCGAACATTACTTGAGTAAAATCTGTTGAGATCCGATTATATCGTCGAGTTTATGACGTGCTGATGAAAAATAATAAACATACAATCTGCATCATTCATGTGAATCATTTTGTTGTGAACAAGAAATGAAACTGAAAAAAATATGGCTATCACCAGTTACCACATCGCACATCGAAACATTGTATTTCAGGTCCTCGGTACAAGTGCGTCCACTGTAGTTATAAACCACACGAGATGGATGACTTTGTGGTCCACTTCAGTCAGCACCATCCATTACTGAGTATTAAAGTTAATGTGCCTGAGTTAAATGGCAAAAAATGGATTTACAATGTTTTTGACTATGGTATTGTATTATCAAAGAAAGATCACGGTGATTTTCGTTTCGAGGATATGAAGCTTGTGAAGCTTGGGATTCTTCAAGTTGTGTTCTTTGAGTAGAATGGCGTTTGCAATGCAGAATTTAATGTTTTTGGGTTGCACTCTTACCATAGACACATAGGAAATTATGGTGATTCAAGTGTAAGCATGAATTCAATGTTTTAAAGAACTTTGCCAGAAACAGACGTTGACGTATAGTGCTGCGGGAATTATATCATATTATATTATATCCCGGTGCCAGGAGTATATGATAAATAAAAGGAATATTTGTGATATCGTCATGATATTATATGCTCATTCGAAAGCTTACTCACTACCTCATCGGGTTCTACTCACGGTATAGTCGGAATAGCTCGTTGGTAGCTTCGGGTCCTATATAATCGTACTCGTGACATAATCGGGTCTTTCATTTTCAACTTTCACCGGTGATTTCAATGATATGCAACGTATGGCAGTGAAATAAATATGATACATTTACACCTATTGTATCTTTGAATCGAATGAAGTAAAGACAGCCATGGTTGTTACTTATTCAAGATGTAAATCATCATTCAAATATTTAAAAGTTGAATTTAGCGATTGGATAGTAAACATTGCGCTAAGTACTCATTATTTTGCAAACATGAGTGCCTGGAACAATAACTTTATCAGTTACACACAATTCTGTGTTTTATCTGTTTCTCATATTGAGAAATTCAAGATATAAACAAAATTTTATAACTCACCCCCTACATTTTCAGACATCTTCGGGTCTTTGCTCGGGGGTAGGTTGTATATACACGGGTACTCTTTCCCCTCGTGTTAAAGGAAAATAGCAATGTTGCTGTGTCTTGCTTCAACCACTTGTGACACTGCTACTCCACACAGGTGAAGTAGATGGGGGGGGGGCAGACCTTATGCATCTACCACAGTGATCTCCCCAGCATTAAAGCAAGTGGGTGCAGCACCCACCTGAGATTTTGAAAATAGGCTTGGACCCACCTGAAAATCCAATTGCACCTACCTGAAAATGAGAAATATCATGAAAAATTGCCTAATTTTGGTCTGAATTGTGAAAATGAGAATTTTGCACCCACCTGAGAAAAAAGTTTATTTCCTGATATGACAAATATTTGTTTGGTAGTGAAATTTGAATGTATTTTGGTACTGTAGTATGTAAATCAAATTAATATCATATTTTGTCTTCATAATTCAGACTAAGTAACATGCTATAAGTATCTGTAATTCATGAGGTTTTGGATATTTACATTGAAATTTAATTTAGGAGATTTTTAATGAAACCCAGTGATCTATCGATCATCCTTTAGGCTATTGTAGGGCACTCTAGCATGTTGCAGTCCAGTAAGTTAGGCTCACTATGCAGCATATTTTGAATTTGTGGAGACAAAAACCTGTACCTGCCCTATAAGTAATGGCTCATGGTTGGCTCATGATGGCCATGTTGAATATCAGACAGGAAGGCATAATGTGCCCACAATTCAATCACAGGGGAATATGTAGGAAGGGTGACA